GGGCTCGTAACCTTACGTAAGATTACGAAGCGTAGGGTTTACGTAATACTTCGCATTATTAAATTTACTGATGTAGTTTCTTCTTTAATTAATCTATTTATTACTATAACTCTTTGTGTATTTTGAATTTTAGCTATAAAACATTTAATTTGAAAATACTTTATCTATGTTTGATAATAATTGTTTAAAGAATGATTAAGATATTCTTAAGATAAAAGATAATTTTCTATTAATCTTTTTTAATACTGATAAAAATTATCTTAAATAAACTGTTTCAAGTATAAAAAAATCTTTATAAAATAATTCATAATCTTGATTTAATTTACTTTATAAATTCTTTCTTAAATTTTCTTAAATATGAAAAATATATAGAAAATGTTAAGTAATAGGCATTTTTAAGGATACTATGTTCATTTAAACATCTGAAAATAAACAAACTGGTGAAATATTATTTGTTATTTAAAGGATACAATCTAAAAACCATTCATAGCTATCAAATTGTTTTATTTAAGTATTACTATATAAATAATATTTAATACTTTATTTCTATCTTTAAAAATTAAATATATTATAAAATTAAAACAATTTAATACTATATTCATTATTTTACAATTAAACACTTTTACAAGAAAATGTATTAAATAAACTAATTTTATGCTTTAATTTTATACATTTTAAAACAAATAATTTAATACATAACCTTTATTTTTTTTATAAAAACTTTTTTTAATTGTGTTTAGTTCAAGAAGCTTTGATTTAATTTAGAATTTTGATTATAATTAGTTAAAGCCAATAATTCCATTAAAGAAAAGTAGATTTTATCTTTATCTAATATACATTTTATATTATAAGCTACCTAACTTTAAACACGATTATGGTAAAACATTTCTTTTTTAATATAATAATTTTGCTTTACTTTATTTTCTTTATTTTCTTTTATTTAAAGGTAGAAAACCGGCCGACTTGAACGTTGTATTGTACATTATTGTGTATGTATTTTATGATGAAATTGATTATATGCGGCTTGATATGAGTAATTAAATGATTTTTAAAAAAGTTCATGCCCTGTTGCTACGATTATAAAGTTCATATGCTTTTCCATTGTCCTTATTCACACCTTTACCAAAAAAATAACATTTTGAAAGTTCAAAATATGCAAGTTTATCATCTTTACGAGTACCTCTTTCCATCCATTTAAAATATTTTGCATTATTCTGTTTTACACCGAAACCTCTTTGATAAAATTTTCCAAGAATAAATTCATGATGTTCTACAATTTCAGTGTTCTTTTTAAGAAAAATAAAAAACTTCCTTGAATTAGACATATTGTAATCGAACCAATTTTCATAATTTCTATCAGATTCACTTGATCCTAATTTACACTTATTTGAATATAATTGAACCAAATCATTTAGTATATTAATCATATTTTCCTTATCATCACTATCTATTTTTTTTTTTAAAACAAAAAGAAGAAAATATAATTAAAAAGATCGGATCTATAACAAATAATCAGGAAGTTTATAACATACCAGAAGTTAACGAATCAATATCCGAATTATCAAATGATATATCATTTTCTTCATCTGATGAAGTTTCATCATCCGACGATATTTCTGGAATTCTGTTTGGTGGATTCAGTGAAGAAATTATCTTTAATATTTTAAAAACTTTTTTAGCATTGGGTCGATTTATAGGTTCGGTATCCCAACATTTTTGATACAATTCAACATAATGTTCTGGTGTTCCGTCAGTCTTGTTTTCTCTTTCGCCATTTAATATTTTTGATGGAAGTAAATAATGGGAGTGTGAAGCAAAAGGAGGCCTTCCACTTGAGATTTCCCAAAGCAGATTTCCAAGACTATATATATCAGATCTTTTATCACGTTCATAACTTGGATCTTCAAAACATTTAGGTTCCGTAAATTCTGTCATTCCAAAAAGAGCCGAAGCTGATGATGATTTATTATTACTTAACTCCCTTGATAAACCAAAATCAGCTATAACCAACCTTCCTTGGTGCACTAATATATTTTTGTCATGCTAAAATTAACAGGAAAAAATTTAGTAATTAATTTTAATACGATAATTTAAATGTATGACTTAGAAATTGTTTGTCACCAGATCTCGATGAATAATTCGTTTGCTATGTAAACACATTAATCCACTGGAGATTTCATTTGCCATTCTGAATTTATCTGACCAAGTTAACTTAGTAAAGAAATTTTCGAGGTAATCTCTTAAATTACCGCTATCAGCAAATTGTAATACCATTATATACTGCCTATATCTATTGTCTAAAATAAAAAGAAACAGTCATGACAATTATTTATTTAATTAGGAGCGACTTTATTTGTTATTTATTTAACGCACCTTTAGTAACCCCTAAAAACCGGTTAATATTAGGATGAAAATCAACCTTTCGAAGGAGTTTTAGCTAAAATAATGTGGATTAGGCATGTGGATGGGTTCAAGATAGAAATTCTCTAAAATTTAACGAAAATGACCAACCTCATTAACGAATTTTTCAATTATATCTTTTTCTAATACAACATCAACTTTTAAAGATTTCAAAGCAACTTTTACGTCACAATTCATCATTGCAGATTTTACACAAGCAAATCTCCCTTCACCGACCAACTGATGCTCAGTAAATTCATTGTATTCAAAACTATTTATATGGTTTAATTTAACGCACATTTCCATCCATTCTTGGAAATCCGTATTTTGATTCATTATTATCAGTTTCAGTTTTTTTGTTTTTTGAAATTTTAATAATGTATATCCAGAATAAGGTATGAAATTGATTTCTTGAAATTATATTTTAACTGAATGGGAATATCTTGTCAAATTTATAATGTAAAATGGTTTCTCAGATATCACAAAGCACAGTGAAAGCGGGTGAAACATAAACTTTGTATCAGAAGATCCAAATTTTAAAACCTATTTTCGAATTTTAAAGTAAAATGTTTTGATATTATGTGATAAAAGTGAGGGAAATCCATATGGCCTTTGAACCAATACCTAATTTGGTAAGTCAATATAACACAACTTCCCGTAAGGATTTTTGACGGAATCTTAAGACCGATACTGAAACACATGCCGTAATTAACTGTCGATTATCCGTCTTCGTTCGTCTCTTCCTGGAATTGAAATACAACTTTGAATAAATAATTATTGAGACAAGGTGAACATTAATAATATCTTTTCGGTTTAATAGATAAACTGACCTGACCAACAATCCTCATATTGCCGCTTGGTTCTTTGAAAAACGGTTTAAGCTGTTTCTGGAGGAAGTGTTGATACCAAATGGAACCTTGAAGATTATTGGTATCGATTCGAATGGCAACACCGTGGAAGTTCACATGTACATCATGTACATGGCATTGGAAAGAGGAAAGATGCGCCTAATCAGGCATAAATGATTAATTGCGATTGTTTTCTCATGAATGCGCTGAAGCAATTCTTGTGGAAATTACTGCATCAACCTGAAATCTAATTACAAAAATAACTAAAAACCAGCAATTTGTTATGATTTTCTAAAATGTTCAAAATAATTATTATCTAAAAACTGATATTTAAGATATTATTTTTGAAAATTCGATGCTTTTTTCAGAATCTGAACCTTTAGGTAGAAAATATTAAATACTACCTTTCATTCTTTTATTGAATATCTTTGAAATTTCTTTTTGTGTTAACATTTTATTAATTTTATTTTATATAATAGTTTTCTATTATTGTTAAATCATTATATTAAATATTGAATTTTATGTACCAAAATATCTAGCAGTCATTAATTCTTCTATCCATTTAAAATTTTCACAAGAAAATAATTTGTTTTAATCTCTTAGTTTATCTCGCTCTTATAAATGTTTTAAAACCATATATTTTAATAACTTTTAAACCTATTATTAAAACTGAATCCATATATTTGATTATTTAATAAAATTTTAATGATCTTTGCTTCAATAAAAATTTTTCTAAATTCTTAATATTTCTTATTTTAACTTTATAATAAAGTTTTTGTAAAAATTCAATATCTATCTAAATCATTCTTAAATTTACTAATATAAAAATAGTAAATCATCTTTTTAAAAAAATCATAATATTTTAATTTGTATAATAGAATGATTAATTTAGTTTTATTGAATATTATTTTAAAATAAAATAAATATAATACAAATGCAAATCTAAAAGCATATAATTATAATTCAACCAAACATAATATCATTATAAATCTTATTTATTATCAAAGTATTCTTTTAAATTTATAGTTATTTTAAAGGTTTAATAATTGTTTTATTATAAATTACTTTTAAAAAATACATTTAAATTATTAAAATATTCTATTTAATTTTATTATTATTTGAATGAAATCTGATTTTTCTGTCTTTTTAAATTAAATTTAATTTTTATTAAAATAAATCTATTACTATTTTTTAAAATTCGTAATATTATAGAATTTTATAATATAATTATAATAAAAATTTATAATATAATAATTATTTTACTATATATTAATTATTTTATAAAATTAATTATTCTACAATATAATAATTATTCTATAATACTATAATTATTTTGCAATATATTAATTATTTATTATATTGAATTAAGATTACTTGTTTAAATTCATTTAGATTTGATAAAATATTTAAACTTTAGTTTTGTTAATTTTTTATTATAGTTTTAATTTATGTTTGCATTTTTATAAGCTTTAATATAGTTTTACTTATTTTTAAATTTACAGATTTTTAATAAAGTTTTAATATATTATTATATTATAAATTTGTATTATAATTATATATGTAAATTACATAATATTAATTAAGATTTTTGGCAATTTAAAAATTTTATATGATAATATTAATAATATAAATATTTTTTAATAAATAATATTTAGATTTTTTTAAAAAAAAATTGTAATTGAAATACAAAATTTTTAAAAGCATTATAAGCAGATATTGATATATATAAATTATAAAAGAGTCAACCCTTTGATACTGCGTCTAACAGTTATAACCTAAAAAAATTACACATTATTAACATTAATAATATTATTTTATTTTATAATATTCTATAAATTATTTTATAAAATTATTTTATTTTAAAAAACTTTTTTTTAGCTTTTTTTTTATTTTTTGCTTTTTTAGTTTTCTTTAATTTTTTTAATAATTATAAAATTATATTATATATTAATAATATCTTTTAAAATAGTAATAAATTTTGATATTATATGCAGAATTAGAAAGAACTAATATAAGAATAGAAAATAAAATAATTAAAAAAATAATTTTACTTTTAATAAGAATTATATAATATTGCATTAATTTTAATTAATTATCTGAATTAAATATTAATTAATTATCCTTATATTTGATATATTAATTTTAAATAGGTAAACAGATCCTTAAAGTAATAGTTTTTCTTTTAACCTTTTCAAGAATGAAATACCTTTTGTAATTAAAAAGTATTTTAAATAAATATCACTATGTATAAAATTTATCTAATATTATTTTTGATATAATTAAACAAATTGACATTAATAAATTTATGAAAATTATAACAGATAATATTAAAAATATAATAATTACCAGATAAATAATAGTTCAAAATATTCAAATACAGTTAACTCTTGTTATAACAAATTCTATGTTCTAGACCTTAACTTTACTATAAGATTATAGTGAAAATTTTAAGAGATTTAATTAACTATTTTATTATAACAAGAGTATTTTTATTATATTTGTTTAAAAATTATATTAAGAGTTCATTATATCAAGAATTGATTGTATAATTAATATTAGATATATTATATATTATATTAATTTAATAAATTCAAATATTATAAAAATAATACAAATTGTATATCTTATAAAATATTGTAAAGTTTTTTAAAATTCAGAAAGATTATTAATTTAAAAAAGCATTAAAAGAGAAATTAAAAATATATTAAAATGTATTAGATAATAGTAAATAAATATGTTAAATTTATATGAAAATTAGAATTCTAAATTAGATTAACCTGTTTATTTGACCTAATCTAACCTAAAAATACAGATCAAGTCAATATATTTTTAGGTTAATATCAAGATAGATTAATAAGTTAATCTGACCTGAACTAATCTGATAAATTTTAGGTTATCTAATCATTCTTTTTGAATAATTTATTATAAAATTCAAAAATATTTTTTTTAAAACTTATTCAAAAAAATTAATTATAATAAAACAAAGTAATAATCTTTAAATATTTTTATTTGATATTTTTTATAAAGTGTGATAATTTTATAATATATATTTATATTAATACAATATTTAATAAATTATATAAATAAATATTTAAAAAAATAAAAAAATTCAGAAATTAATATAGTTACAAAATAACTATTGCTTAATGAATATTAATCAATATTAATGAAAAATTAGATGTAAATAGTATTGAATCTGCTGAATAACTTTTATTTAAAGATGAAAAGCAATTAACTTAAAATGTTCAGATTATTCTGTAAAGTTAAAAAAAAGTGTTATAGTGTTAATAAAGTTACAAAACACTTATTACTATATAAATATAAACTAATTTTAATGAAAAATTAGATGTAAATAGTATCAAATCTGAATAACTTTACTTAGAGATGAAAAATAATTGATTTAATAAGTTTAAATATTTAAATTTTAAAAAATAAGATTTTTTTTTTAAAAATTATGTTAAATAAATAAAAGTGTTTTTTTTTTGTTAAAAAAAAAAAATTTAAAATATAATGGTTCAAAAAAAATTTGGAAAATTGATTTTCTTTAATATTAATTATGTAACTGTAATTAATCATTAAATTAAAATTTTTTTTATCATTTTAATACAATTTTTTATAAGGAAAAAGTAAAAAAAAAATAACAAAATAAATTAGAATTTTAAATCAAATCAAATATAATTTATTTTTTTTAAATAATTTAATTATATTAGGTCAGGTTAAATAAAAATTTAAATCAGATCAGATTTTTGTTTGATCTGTCCTAGTTCTTTTAATTCAGATAATTTGATTAATCTAATCTAAACTGATTTATTTAATGATTAAAAAAAGCTTTACAATATTTATTTTTTATTTTTTATAGCATTTATTTATAGTAATTTTTAAATATTTTTTAAAATAAATAAAAAAAAATAAATTAAGTTATAATTAATTTTTTAACTTTTTATTTAATTAAATATTAAATTATTATAAAAATAAAATAAATAATAATTCAATTAAATTAATATTAAAAAACCATATTTTTTAATGATATTAAAAATTTATCAAAATTCTTAAACCAATTAAAGTATTATATTAATATTAAAAAGTAAAAAATATTAATTTAATAAATTGCTATTTATAACTAATTAAAATAGGAGTATATTTTAATAATCAATTATCAAATATTAAAAAATGTTTATATTAAAATTTTTAATAAAAGGTATAATTATAATTATTATTTAATATTACTCTTAAACTTATTATTATCTAATTATCTAATTTATATATTTTAGATATCTAGAATTTGATAATGATATTTATTTTTTAAACTTTTTATTTTATTATTTTTATTATAATTATGAAATAATAATTTTAAAATTAATTATAAAATATGATATTTATAATACATATTAAATATTTACAAAAAATTATATTAAAAATTTGAAAAAATTTTAATTATAAAAAATCATTTAATTAAGAAATATATGCTCAAATTTGTTAATATTTTAA